TTGCAAATTTATCGATAAAGCTTTTTTTTTTTTTATTTTATTTTTATCGAATATGAGGATAACGTAAGACCGCGTTATCGGGCAATTATTAAAAAAAAAAAAAAAAAAAAAAAAAAAAAAAAAATAAACGTCAGCATACCTGAATAAGTTTAAATCAGACGAGGAGGCATTAAAGTCACGCCGGCCGATAAGCGAATCTTTTGTTTCACTTTGATATCTTGACTCTATTATAGGAGAAAAGGTTCGACGATGAAGGTGACTCGAACACTTTTAACGCGTTTTTTAAACCGTACCAACCGGACAAGTTCAGAGTCCGCGCGTACGATATTTATTATTGGTGACACGAAATAAAAATCCCTGTGGCGATTACATAGCAGTAAAGGGAAGCACGGTTACACTATACGGGGGCATTCTACGACTGCGGACTGGCAGTAAGCTTTCCTTTGCTTATTTGCTTGCTCCTCAAGATTCAACGCCGCCTGACGGCAGTGCGTCTCGAAAATCTTATTTCGACCTCTTCCGCGCCTCCTGACGGCAATCACTTCAATAATTACTAACTTAAATATATTCCCCACATCGATTCATTTACCGTTTTCGTTCGACGCGTTTCGATCCGCCTATCGATCCGCCTATAGATCATCGGTTTCTAATATAAACACCTTTTGCAACCCTGACGCAATTAGATGTACATCATTAGGAGGGTAACATTAGGATCAACACTCCTAACCACCCCTTAGTTTTTGTCTTTTCACTCTCTATCAAAAACATTCGTTATCTTAAGTCGTTAAATATCCTACATGCTGACAAATATTTCATCGGTAAAGTAAACTGACGTGAAGCGACATGCACGCATGCGACAGATAGATTAATTCTCGTAGTACCCTTATAATAATATGATTCATTTATAAAAGTAGTATCAATATGATGGCGATATATAAAAAACAAATCTATCGATTAAAGGATACATTGGATCATTTCTTGTATGCCAAGTGTTGCCAATTCGCCGTGCGATGAGTAACAGCCAACGAATTCCTTACGAAGATCGTGAAAGACATTGTAATGACTTGGCAATTCGATATCCTTTTTGCAGGCTTCAGGATGCAAACATTGTCTCATCGGTGCCTGTCCGTCAACGATGAAACGAGGTTCGCCTCCCCCGGTCACGCAGGACATGGACGACCACCATCCTTCGAACTTGGGACAGAACAATTAAACAAAATTATCAGTCCTTTTCTAAAACGAGTAAACCTATAATAATATATCATCCTGCACAATCGAGGAATTCATTAATATTTTCTTATACCCCGTCGAGTGTACGTCCGTGTAACACTAAAGAAGGATTAATAAGGGTTAAATTAAAGTAATAACATAATGTAAATAATAAAATGTACCTGTTCTATAGCTTGTTCCAAAGGAATCCCGTGTTCTCGAAGGGTACGCTCGGTCAAGGCTGGAGCATGTGCTAATGCCAACTCGCTAATGATTGCGTTACTTCCGGCGACCGGTGAATTGTCACTACCATTTCCCGGTGTACAACCATCGTCCATTATCTTTGGACAAACTATGTATTGTTCTCTACCCAATACCTGAAACAAAATCGATTATCCATTTCAAAATTCCTTGCTTTTGTTTCCTTCCTTTTTCCTTTTGATGTGACGTAAATACAATTATGATATTCACGATATTACGATTGCAGTATCTCATATCTCGTTACATTTTTTTTTTTTTTTTTTCATATATTTTTATCCGAAGAGAAACGTATGCGTTATTGGTGCACAATTAAAATAAATGACACAGCGTTATCGTAACGAACATAATCATCGCTCAACGTGATGCTAAAACTCTTATAATCTTCCGGATGATTTTTCTCAACGGATTGATCTATTTAATATCGTTTTTATAATAATAAATGAACTCTCTCGTTCGAATTCACTTTCGACGAATGAAACGCAATGCGTTGGAGTTACTGGAATCGAAACAGTTGCATCTATCTCCTAGGAGCTTATTATATTGTAAATTTTTGTCTATTTTAATTGATTTCGAATTTACTCTCGCACTCGTCTGCATTTTCGAATCATTTTAATTCGATTTACCCGCATTTTCTTTTGTCTTCCTGCACGTGCATAAATTATACGATACCTAAATTATTCGGTACTATATTTGTCTGTGAACATTGCACCTGCGATATTATATCATGCGGGTAATCGATTTTTTGTTGTATTTAATTGAACTTTATTTAATTCTATTGGAAAATGTGTGTATGTGCACGAATTTTTGCAGATAAATAAATCAACGAAAGATATACATTAGCACGCGATAATATAGACGCGAACGTTTGTGGGAAATATACCGATTACCGAAAGTAATTAAGCTATCCATCGTTAGTTAACGCTATGACGCTAATTGCAACTCGTAAAGATCGTTTCTCCGATAATTTCAGTTTAACGAATACTCGTCCATTTTGCTATTTATTTTCTTTTTTTTCGCAACGATATTTTTCGATCCTCCTCTTCCTCTTTCTATTTCTTTTCTTTTCTTTTCTTTTCTGTTTTATCCGTTCAAAATATAATATATTCTACGCGTCTTCAATATTTTATTCAAAATAGTACAATCTTGTTATTATATAAATTAATGAGAAATTAAAAATGATCGTTAATAGCTGAACACATAGAAAGTTTATTCTATTCTCTGAACAATAAATATAACGTTAAAAATCAATTAATTTTCTTGAAGACATTATAAACTATTGTAATCTATAGTTTCTAATTTCACAATTGGAATAAAAATAATTGATTTAGAAAATCGTATAAAATAACTTTGAACTCGTCTCTTATAAATGCCGAAACTTAAATGTACGTAAAATGTCGAAACTTATCGTAGTTGGGGAAATAAAGAAAATCTAAATAGCATATATAAGTCCAATAAGATGGTTATGCACAATAGTATAATTTGGCCAGCATTATGCCAACTACCTGTTTATCCGTCTATCTATCTACTTATAATACACGTTCACGAACGTTGCAACGATGACATACCACATATTCGTTATCGTCCATATACATATGTATACTACTAGCATACATAGAAGAAACTTAATAGGCAGGTTTACTAACACGAGGTTAACGGATCAAGGTAGTTTGGTACGATCGTTTCAATCGTCGTCTTCTTCGAGTCCTTCTTAGGAGAATTTTTTCAACCGACATTAACAATCGCGACGCGTGCAATAAAACAATATATATATGTATATACAGATATATAAGCAATATTATATTATCTTACTTCTATCTGTGTGTAATCGCATTTTCATCAAAATGAAATTACATCTGATTTTAATAAATTCAATCCGAAAGAAACACATTGATATGTGTGTGTACGTGTAAATACTTCGAGTAATATACATATAAATTCACTAAATATATACCATGCTTATAATACGTATGGATAGCAAATAGCATATATGCTATAAAGCTAAAAGAAAACTGTTATAGTGTATTTTTGGTTTTTTCATGAATAAGAGGGAAGAGAGGAGGGAGGTTAATTTACTTTAAACTAGTTCAAATATTTTTCTAACAAGATAAGAAAGTTTTCTATTTCTCGCAAAAGAAACTATGTACTTAGAATTAGGTAAAAAAAAAAAAAAAAGGAAAAAAAAACTATTACTTCCATTTTCTTTCCCAACTGTACATAAAAATATCGTTATCATATTCGTAAAACGTATATTATTATATATTCGAACAACTTTTCTAGCATGTTCGTACGTAAGTAAGTACTTACTTGCTTGTGCATATAGGATACATAATGCGTAAATATATATATGCATGTTCACAAAATGCCTCGTCATTTCCTACTCGTACATAATGCTCAATATTCTCGAGTGCTAGAACTTTCGTCACCGATACGACGTTCCTTTACTGCACTCATTTTCGCGCATCGCACGATTACAAACGATAGAATATATTAAAAAAAACGGACCGCCTACTTCAACGATTACCTGCCACCTAACCCCCTTATCCTCTTCACCCCTTTCCCCTTAGCCACTCCCAAGTCTCTGCATTTCCATGTTACGACTTTTTTTTTCCTTTTTATCGTATAATAGTAACCATGAATAAAACATAATAATATCGATAATGTTCTATAACGATAAACTTATTTACAAGGAAAATTTTATTGCTCGAGAGAAGGTAAAGGACGATTTTTTTTTTCATATGAATTTTTCCTATCATATCACGTATTTAACAATAGTTCGAATGAAGAAATATGCGTGAAAGTACTATTCTTATAAATTTAATCGCCGATAATGCATTACTTTTTCTTTTGTTTTTTTTATGCATTTATAATTCGTAAGAAATATTATTGTTAGAAACGCGCATAGAATTATTTCTAAGAAATTCAATAAATCCCGTAAATAACTTGACTTGATCGAAAATATAATAGTGCAGTTTTAAGAGCAGTCTCAATAGATTCGACGAGTTGCTCGTAAATCTACACACGTTTGATCGATCCTAAGTAAATAAAGTTCTTATAAATTGCAAATTTCGTCACGCACAGCTCAATAAAAAAAAAAGAGATAGAGAAAGGCGGACGGAGGGTCAAGGTTCAGGGCTCTTACTACGTTCGGAAGCACAGCAGGCTAACATACAACAATTCGTCCATCGAACGGCTAACAATAAGAAGAAAAATAAAACGAAAAAAGGTGAGAGAGAAGGAGAGGGGAAGGGAGAGGGAGAGGGAAAGAGAGAAAGAGAGGGAAACTTTAAGATGGTGGACTATAGAATAGGGCGAATGCGTGATCAAACATGAATAATATTCACCGTATGCTTAATCGACAACTATGTTATGAAACAGAATTTAGATTTAGAAAGAGAGAGGAAGATAAGCGTAATAAAATGTGATCAGATATATTATATTATTTTTCTACTAGATAGGCCAAAAGTTCAAAGCTCATTTTAAAAATCAATTAAGCAAGTCAATTAAGCGGTAAATATTCCACGTTTTGGTGATCTTCATTGTTATATACGCGTGAAATATATCAGATAAATATCAGTTACTTTATATAATACATATCTCTATCTAATAATAACAAGTGATTTAACGTGAGATAAATTGAACAATTTCGTGGAATATTATTCAGATAAAGAAATTTATCAAAAGTATAATTTCGTACACACTATATTATATTATATATAATCATATATAAAATAATAACGTTATAGCATTACGTGTAACTGTAGATTGACACGTTTTTCCATTCAAGTTTTTCATCGTAATGTACGATATGCTCGCATACATAAGTAATGAGGGAACCTTTGTTATCGAAAAAGATGGAAATTCATAGTTTTCAGCGGAAATGAATCGGTCATTGCAATGGTTAAGAATATAGGTGAGGTCAAACGTCATTCCGTCTGTTGTTTTATAAGATTATTCCAGGAAATCGGTTCAACGAGCAAAGGAAGTAAATGAGTAAGGAGATTTCTACATCTATTTGTGTCTATATATAAATACATACATGCATATATACATGTTCCTTCTTCCAAGGTAACAACGATGCACGCGATCGTAATCTTTGGACGGTACTACGTGTAATGAGAAAAAATGAGAAAGATGGTTCTGGGGAAAGTTGCATAATGTAAAAAAAAAAAAAAAGAAATATGACAAGCCGATACGAAGCTGGCAAGAAAAGAGGACCGAGCTCGTAACGAGTTTTTACGTTCGCACGTAAAAATAAATTATAATTTGGAATGATTATTAGAAATCTCAGGATCGACGCGAAGATTCACATAATTCCCGTGGCCAACGACAGTGGCTTCGTTTCTCAAGCACGTTACGTGTATACTTATTAGTGTTATAATTGCATACATTTATAAATATAAATCTAACGAATTTTTCTAATTTCCACATCGTTAATATAGAATTGGATTTAATTGAATTTGATATAATCAAAGAGAAAACAATTTCACGTTAAATCGCTCATTTCGATTGACATGTATATACGTATCTATGTAACATATCGAAATAACTTTTCTCGCGTTGGAATCATTAATCGTACATTAATTGCGCCTCGATGGAAGGTAACAAGCTTTGGATTCACGACTGGAACGAAAAAACTCCTGGTACTATTATCCAATTATATTCATGATAAATTGAAGCCCGAGGGAAGCTGGAACCATCATATATCGATTGAAATTTTACTTTTGTCGATGTCAACATTTCTAATTAATTTCTTATCTTGATTTATACAATTAAACAAAATCGAATTCTTATTAGATTTGATATAGTTGACAACACGGATGTAAATATAATTATTTATTTTTATATATACAAATACGGGCTAAACGTTTGTAACGTATACAATTAAAAATTAATTTCTTTGCGATAGATTTGAAAGGAAAATAAATCGACGAAAGTAAAGGCACGCATTCCAAAGAAATATTTAAATAAACGATCTGATGTTATTGTTCGTTAAAAAAAAAAGAATGGTAAGAATGCAAAAAATTTGAATGCATCAATTTTGTAAAAATTTTTCGAAAAGTTATACCTCTACCTAGCCATTATTCTCTCGAGTCAAGAATAATAGGAAATAGACTTAATAGGAAGCATGCGAGAGTCGAACAGAAAGCGGAAATGACCGACCACCTGGAAGGTATGGGTATTTCATGTAAGACGATTCACAAGAACGAATAAAGAAAAAAAAAAAAAAAAAAAAAAAAGGAGAAAAAGAAAAAGGAGGCACAACACCTGTTGCGCCTCGAGAACTTTCTTTTTTCTTTCTCTCTTTTCGTCTCTTCTTCTTCCTGGAATAATCTTCAGAAGGGGATTAACAAAAGGTTACAAAAATATAATAAATCTTCGTTTTAATTTATAAGAATAAATATATATATAGATATATAAATATATATATATATGCAGGGTTTACATAGATCGGAGGCGGGCGGAAAACGGTAAAAGAAAGGGTGGTGAGAGGAGGACCGACAAAAGCGGGTGTAATCGGTACACACGAGCGACGGTGAAGCTGGAAATAATGGGACGACCTTTCGAGGGCGCGACGCTCCGCCCCCAGCGGATAATTCGAGAAACAAAGGCAGCCAACGACACGCTCGAGTGACACCGCACCCCTCTCAACCCGCCGTTGCAACTATCCGCGAATCAAAATACATTCACCGATCTTTTCCTTCTGTTTATATATTTTATTTGTTTAATAAAAATAAATAAATAAATATATAAATAATTGTTATATTGAAGAGATAATTGGGAGAGAAACAAGAGCAGTCGTGCTTCTTAATGACGATGACGATTACGATGACGATGACAAGCGTTTAATAATGCCGAAGTCGTATTAAAACTTGCAGGATTAAAGTCGAACGTTAGACCGGTTTTTTTTATTTTCTTCGTCAAAAGGTTAGCAGTAAACAAGGCGCAAAAAGCTGTTTGTAAAGTCCAAATAGTTAATGCAGCATAAAAAAAAGCTGTTTTTCCTCTTTACCTTGGTACGGGAAAAAGAAGGAGACAAGACGATTAACACGCGATACATATATTTCAATTTATTTATAATTTCATTGAATTTCCACGTTGTTTCCTCGTAATCGTGTTACGATAAGGATTTTATTTGTTAATTTCGATACGTTCGTCAATGGCCGATAAAACGATAAAGCGATAGAAAGACTCATTGTCAAAAGACGATAAGTAGGCAAAACATTTTCGAATCATATATTAAAATCGTAGCTCGCTTCTAAACTATTACGAATTCACCTGACGTGATTACGCTTTGAAGAGGAAAGGAAGTGTGTTTGAAAGAGAAAAAGATAGAGAGAGACATCGAATCGACCAATCACGGCATATTTATGCAGAGGACGACCAATGAACGCGCGAGTTACCTCGTTTCTCATACCACTTTACTTTAGCTTCGTTATTTTGCGAGCATGACGAGACATAGATAAGTAAGTACGATAAGTAAATATTTATATAAAAATGCAATAAAAGCTACAGTTTATCCGCGCTGTCGTTATTTCCTTTCGCGCATCAATCGTACGTAAAAAAAAAAGTACGTAAATACCTCTATCGTAATTCCTTCCAAGCGTTTTTTTTCTTTATTTTCGAATAAAAAAAAATTTATCATTGATAGAAGGAGGAAAAAAAGAATAGAAATAAATCACTTTTTTCTGATTACGCGAAAATCTATTTTTCCTATTTCTTAGAAACGGGGATGACTTTATTGCGAGAGACGAAATAATAGAACGAAAGAGACAAAAAATGACAATATCGAAATCGAATTAATTTGGAATAGGTGAGGTTTCTAACATTTGAAAATATTGAAGGAAGAGATCGTGTCGGTGTCTAATGATCTCACTCAGAACTCACCTTGTTCTGGAGTACATCGAGAAGTACGTAAACCAGTAACGTGATTTGGCCCTCGTCGGAGCCAAGCGAGTTGTTCTGAAGGCCGGCGGTCGCCACGTACAGGGCGACCAGGTGAGTCGGCCCTCTCGTAGCAACGCTCTGCATACTGTCCTCCTCGCGGCACCGTCGACCGCCCATATATCCCTTCGATATTATCTCTCTTCTTTATTTCTTTTTATTCTTCTTTCAATTTTTATGAACGAACAATAATAACAACACAACACAATAACAATCGGTGAAACACAGTAATAGAAGCTTAACACTCGCAGAAACACGTTCTCCTTCCTATCTATTTATCTATTTATCTATCTGTCTTTTTCTCTCCTCCCCTCGTTCCCACGATGAACGAAGATGCAAAAAATAGAGAGAGAGAGAGAGAGAGAGAGAAAGAGAAAAAGAAAAAAGAAAGATAAATAGAAAGAAAGAGAGACGTTTGACGACGACGACGACGACGAACCGGGTTTCCTCTCCTCGATCCTTTCACAGGTACTCGATATCCAACAGCAACCACGACATGTCCATTCTCTTCTTGCCTCCTTCAGCTTTCCAATTGAAAATTACGATATAACTCGGGAAAATATATACTAATGAAAAACAATCGAAAGAAAGAAAAACGAGGAAGACAAATACGAGTGGTCAATTCGTAATAGCGCGTGCACCCTTCACAACTTGTGTCAACACACACTTTTCAGTACTTATCAAGGTAACAAAATTTCTCCTCCTTCGGCTCTTCCTATACGGGAAATATACGTGTGCGTGTATTTTTAATTCCCTCTCTCTTTTTTTATTTAACGAAAGAGAGTAAGCGAACGAGCGGCAACATGATGGCGAGCGGCAATTCGATGACGGCGGCGACGACGGCGACGGTGGCAGCGACGACGACGACGACGACGACGACAACGAAGACCGAAAGAGAGAGAGAGAGAGAGAGAAGAAAAAGAAAAAGAGAGAAAGAGAGAGAGAGAGAGGAATAAATTCGAGTAGGAAAGGTTTTTGGTGAAACACTACTGGCCAACCCCGAACGTCGTCGCAGTAACGCGCACGTCGTCGTTGGCTCACCTGGCGACTGCGCGCCCGAGCGCTACTCTATTGCCAAGACCACATCGTTCCTCTTCCTCCCCACTCTAACCTACCTATCTCATTCTGCTACCTTCTACCCCACTCTTTTCCCTCCTTACGAATGTATGCGTGAGACGGATATTACAGGAAGGTAGGGGGGGGGAGCAATCGAAACCGCGGAAATTTAACGCATCGAAATAAGTTTTACTCATTCTTCATTTTCATCATTTTCTCTCTTTCTCTTTCTCTTATTTGTTTTCTATCTAACGAGCGTTCACATTTCGATTGAAGTCAAGTTAACGTTACTTTGAAGTCGATGCGTTGAAATTTGAAAATTTGAAGGGAAAGGCAAGTCGAAGCAGCAATGACTAAGCTGCCAGGTGTTTAGACGTTCCAACTCGATTCTCGGCAAGGCTAACGATCCGTTAGGATATTATCGTAGCGTACAATTTCTAATCTTCCCCCGTTGTTCTTCTCTTTCCTTCCTTATTTCTTGTCTATTATCTTTTTTTCCTTTCTTTCTTTCTTTCGTTTATTTTTGAAAGAACAAATGCCGCAGGGACACTCGGAAGACTACAGATTTTCCACGCTCTAAGTAAAAGGGAAAGAATTCGTCTTCCAAGACAAAATGGCGATTGAGAACGTGGCGGCGTTCTCGGCGGCGTTCTCGACGGATAGAGGAAGCTCCCCAATGTCGCAGGTACGTATCTTCCATGGCTTCTACCCCTCTCCATTAACCGACCATTCCTTCTTCTTCATCTTCATTGCTTCTAACATCCGGTTTGCTCCCTGTCTCTCTCTCTCTCTCTCACTCACTCTCTTTTTATTTCTTCCTCTTTCAGAATGCGATAGCCAAAATTACAACGACGGCTCTGTTTTGTTTTTTTAATACTTATTGTTAGATACTGTAAATATTACTTGTACAAATTTTTAATCGTCGTAGGATGAACAAAATTACGTCTCACAAATTCGTAATAAAAACAAATTTTGTCGATACGAAATTGTAAAGGATTGAAACAACACCATCGTAAATTTTTGTAAAATAGCGGTTCTATCCGGTTCTTCTTCATTTTATTTTCTAATCGTTTGTTTTGTATGATACTTTTTCTTTTCTATTTTCTTTTTCTTTTTTAATCCTTTTTCATAAATAGCTGCGCGCCAATTTTATCAACAGGTTCTACCTACGCATACTCGTTCACGCTTGCACGCGTGTATGCGTGTAAAAATACTTTTCAGAAATGTGTGTATGTATTATACACATAGATGAAAGGCACAGTGAAAGCAGCTGCACGTTGTTCAATATTCTCGTGAGCGCGCAATGCCGACCTTGCTCGCTGATCTTCTCTCCTTATATTTCCCTTCGTATTTCTCAAAAAATCCTATTTTGAACAACATTTTCTGATCGACGCCGAACACATCAATGATAATAGTAATAATAATAAAAAAAGGAAAGAGGTACCTACGGGCTCGGGGTGCAAAAAATCAATTCCACCCAGTTACGTAATATATTTATACACGCTTAATTAAAAGTACACACATTACGAGTACATATATACGAGTATTTTGGAATCTAAAAGAAAATTCCAATTCTCGTAAATATGTCTAGATAGATGTATATGATAAAAAAAGGAAGAAAGAAATAGGAAAAGCTAGCGAGCAACAGGTTGGTATGACGCCTTTCAAGAGTGTATAGGGAAAGGGCAGAGTAGAATTGAAAAAGCGAACGATTGAATGAGCTCGAGTCGAGCTAAAGAGGCAAAGAGAAGGAGGAGATAAATGAATATTTTATATACCTATGGTTACATACAATATATGCATATAGGTGTATATTCAAAGAGAGAGAGAAAGAGAAAGAGAGAGGGAACTGGTGTAAAACGTCTTTGGAAGTTAAGTACTTGGCGCTTGGCAAGTAAAGCAAGCCGGTGGTATCGTTACGCCTATGACGACGGCACCCGATTGGTCATTCACCTGTTGCTCCCCAACTACGATTGGTCGAGCACGGAAAGGTTGCGTGTAACGACCGTTTAGAAGTAGACAAGTGCATCCTCGAGTGGTCCATAAAACCAACGCGATGGCAAAAGCAATGAGAAAACTACGAATTTCAAAAATATCTTTCCTCTCGATCGTGTGCTCAAACTTTCCCTCTTTCTCATCTTCTTTTATTTCCAATTCCAAATGTCTTTCAGATTGTCTTTCTTTTTCTTTCTTTTTCTTTTTTTCTTTTTTATTTTATGCATATCTTTCTTGTATTTATTCATTTTCTTCGTAATACGTGATTCGCTAATTTCGATAAAACCGCAGAATAAGCGGAGAAGCTAATCGTACGAGCTAAGATCAAAGTCTAATTTCCGAGTGCAAAGTCTTATGACGGTGTCATCGAGAAGCCGGTTTTCTCTACTATACCCGGACTCTGGACTGCCTCGCCCAAGTACATTGCTTCTTGTATATCGGTACTTAAATCAAAACATTCAAGTACCTATATATGAATACTTCATCACGTTTCATCATTTTGTTCATCGGGAAAAGAATATTTTTTCGGACCCTTTCCAACCAACCGTTTTGATACGCTCTCGTATTTGAAATTATAATCAAATGTTAATAATATTATAATAATCCCCGTCGTAATTATGTATTCAGATAATTCACGCGAATCATGAATATTAAAAAAAAAAAAAAAACAAACATAGCCGGTAGTTTTTAATCCTTCCAAAGTACATTACTGTGTATATACTCGTGCACTTCGTGCATTTCGTACATCTCGTGCATCGAGATCATGTAAGACGAGATATCCGCCAATGAAACAAAGATCTCTCAACGTGAACGATTTAGCATTGACAATTAACTAACGAAGGCGCGCACGGTGAAGGCTAGGTAGATGGATCAAGGATATCGACGGTGAGACTCTGGGAGAAAGGGACGGTCTTACGTCATTGAAATTGCGTAATTTTTCAACTATTTCGTTGGCAATACTTGCCCAAGAATCGAGCTATCCGTTCAAAGTCATCAAATTTGATCAATGAAATTAAGGCAAGGGGTGAGCGAAGAAACCATACAAAATTAGAAAAAATAGAACATGTAGTACGTGAATAGAAAACTGGAATGAAAAAGATCTAAATACAAAATATTGCCTCGGCCGTCAATAAATCATATCAGAATGTGTTTATTAGTTAATATTCTAATTAAAGCTAATATTTGTTAAACGTTTCTTTCTCAAATCGTTTTGAACAATGGGAAGAGACAAAGATATAAACTTTAATTTGATTACCGGCGATTAATTAATATAACGGCAAAGTGGAACGACTAGAATCATCGCGTTCAAAGGATGAGCCTTCTCTAAGAACTACGAAACTATACTCTTGAGTGAATCCGCTTCGGATGCCATGGAAGTATATAAGGAGAACGGATTCACCAACATTGCACCGAAACTTTCTCTTCGTAGATATATTTATGTATCTTTCGTGTTCTACCTTCTGTATATAGCGCTTTCGAATCATTATTACTAATTATAAGTTTATATACTCTCTATCCTTTTTCATTCCTTTTCTATTAAAAAGACAATTGAAAACATTATCGATTACCGTGGAATTAACTAAATTGACATTGAATGGATGTCTAGAAAAAGGGCTTACCTATGTTTCATGTTAATTTCATCAAATATATTTCCAATTAATTTCTCGCTGTATCAATCTTCAAAAATAATTCATTGTTTTTACGTTTTCCTATAAATATTTATAAAGCGTAACATAGACACTCGTATTCCAAACACCCATTCAATTAAGCCGTTTTATGTGATTACTACATATAGATATATTAAAGATTACAAAGAGAGATATTAAACACCCTCGCTAATACGTTATAACCGCAATTTCATGAGTAGGTGTCTACGAGTTTTTCCTTCGCATATATGTATACCAGAGATTGAGAAACGTCAAATAGTTATTAGAAGAAGAGACATAGACGAAAGGGCGTGCTCTCGATTCATATCTTTACAAAGTAGGGATAGAGTCGAAATCAAGTTTTATAAAGAGTGGTATGTACGATGAGTAGTTTTCCTGAGGAAGCGAGCGTGATAGGAAGAGAGGAGAAGAGAAGAGAAGAGAAGAAAAGAGAGAGAGAGAGAGAGAGAGAGATAAAAAAAGAACAGTGAACGTAGAAGGGAGAAGGGAGGTAGAAGGATGGAGAGAGAGAGAAAGGGAGTGTGTGGTCGGTGACCCGTTCGGAACGTTGACTCCATGTAGTCAGTCCCCTCTTTATATTTTCTTCCATCCCGCTTGCACCACCTTACTGTACCTTCGATTACGAGCATACGACCGCGAGATACCTTACCTTACTTTGCTTCGTCTCATCCGTTCCATCCGCGATAGTTAATGATCGTGTCCTACCTTTGCTATTTCTTCTTCTTCCTCTTCTTCCTCTTCATCAAATCCATTTCCCTCTCTTTCATTTTCTAATCGAGCCGCTCCTCCCTCCTTAACGTGACGAAAAATTATGACTGTTCTCTCTCTCTCTCTCTCACACTCTCTCACTCTCTCACTCTTCTCTTGCAAATCTTTTCCAGTCGCAGCCGCCATATTGTAAATCCTAGCAGGAAAAGATGAAAATGAAGTTATAGAAAGCATAATTGCTTGGATGTCTAGAAGAGCGTATGTTACATTATATTAGAAAACGGGCGTATATTATGTCAATTGTTTCTTTCATATATATTGCTAAAGCAAATAATAAATTATCCGTCTTCTTCTACTAAGTTTTTATGTAGCGAATGTTATTCTCCTAAAAGATACAAAAATACAAATTCAAGTTGAATACAAATTGAAATTGACTTTCTTATCGTTTCTGAGCGCGCGCGTAAAACTTGAAATCGTGCATGGAATTTATTCAGAAACAAACAAGAAAAAGAGAGAAAAAAGTAATAACGGGTTACCTTCGATCCAGTTATGATGAGAAAATGCCGTTCGAGTAAGCGAACGTAAAAGATGGCGATATGCGTTCTCTGTTCTATGATACTTGCACGCGTCTTTTATACAATAATATTATATTTTTAAGTCAATTGTGCGCGTTCGTACACGGCTAAAGATCAAAATCTATTTTTAATAAGTTATTCGATCGAATCTTTTTCATTCAATTTCTCTAGGAAGGAAATAACATCGAGTAACAAGAAAAAGGATTATTGCTAGCTTCAATAATAATCGAATAAAAATCATTCGTTGAAAATGTTCACTTACAATTAGATAAATGTTGATCAAATTTAACTGTACGGTTAATCAAGTTTTGGCGTATTCGGTGCTACCGTGAATACCGTTAAAAACATTATCGTTCCTACGACAGGTCTTTCAGATTCGAAATTCTCTCTCTTTCCTTCTTTGAACTAACGGTACTCACGTACTTTGCTCATCCGCATTCGCACGCGCATCATTTCAGTCATGGAAAAGCACAAATTATAAAATGTAAATCTTCCAATTTGTCTATCCTTAATATTAAAAAACAAAAAAGGCTGCATCCTAATCTAATTTAAAAATAAGCACATAGAAATCTCGGTATATTCTTTACCTTATCGCATCGAACAATTTTTATTCGCGTAATAATAAATAGCGTATATATAATGTACATCGTGCTATGATCAAATAAATCAAAACTTTTACCACATTCTTCCGTAATAATTATTCGAAAGTTCTATTCGTGACTATTATCAGATTTACTCTGTAGTTAAATCCAAAGTTACAACATTCAAAAAGCGAAAACATTATTCCACATAACATAAAAATTAAGTATTATATCATTTCTAAAGTGAGATTATATTTTATCATTTTTTAAGTATCACTTTATATTTACTGCGTGTTTTTTCAAATAAACAATTGTTTACACAAAGTTATAGTTAATTATAATAGGTCGAGTAATGTTAACTTTAATCTATTCATTTAATAAATATTATTTAATCTATACGTTTGTATAACATTATATATTTTCCATAATTCGATTGTGGAAAATGAGTGTGAAAAACTTTGCTTAATAATCTATAATTTTCAAGAAAATCTTTTATCTTTGATGGAATATTATCAAACATTATTAGATGACTTGGTATTACACCATGTTTTTGTAAATCATTATTTCTAATCCAAAGCATTGGATTTTCAAAAAATTGATCCGCCTCATCTACGTAATCATTAGAATTTGTAAAATTAGGTTCGCAAGTCAAAAATCTAGTAGGCACATCGATGTGCAAATGACTGTATAAGGGTGTGGCATGACAGGGTGTTAGGAATAATATATTTACAGATGTACAATTTTCATTAGTCAAATCGTTTTGTAAGATATTCATAATATCTAACGTTCCACGTTGATGGATCAAAGAAAAGTAAAGTCCAGGAATTAGATTGGTTATCGTTAAAATATATAAAAATATCTTTCTCAATAATTCTCTAGAAATTACTTTGACGTGAATGGTACAACTTGTACTTATATATATAAACATTGGCAAGAGCGGTAATAGAAAGCGAAATTCTTTGTGAGACAATAAAGAATAAACACCAAGCGTCCACCCAATGACTACTAACATTACTGCCTCTCTATGAAATTGTTTAGGACGTTTTATTATTTGCGGAAGCATTCCTAAGAATGTAACGCAGTGAAGTCCTAGAAGGACAGGTAATGCGGAGAATATATACCACAATGTATGTTCTTTTCCATACATATCGCTTATTGATTGTAAAACATTTAAACGGAAAAACTCCCACCAAGAGACTGTCAAACTTTTGTAACAATAACTATCTAATATCGCAGAACCTAATAAATATATAAAACCAACCATGCCGTACTGACAAATAATTAATATTTTGTTTTGTAAACTAGTAGATAAATGATATATACATAAGGGTACCCACACGATAGCAGCAGTTGGTCTTATTGTACAAAGAAAACCAACTACCCATAGGTATCTAGCGCTTTTGATATTAGTGTTGCGCCATGGAAACATGGATAAAGCTATGATAGTACAAGCAGTCTCTAATGAGTTAATGAGTGTGCGCGTAGCACAATAATACCAGTACCAATTAATACATAAACTATATAACATCCATTTGTTCTTGGTCCATTTATAAAATCTATAATCGGCATAAGCACTAATCATAGCTTGGAATAATCTTGGTAGTAGTGTTAGAGTAATAACAGAGTCTAAAGAAAAATTGGCTAATATCCGATATAAAAAACTTATCAAGAATGGATAGATATAGCTACGGATTTTCGCAGTCCATTCCCAAGTAAGAAATCCATATCCAAAGGCAAGACGATGGGCAACTTCCAAAGATTGCCAGTATTCGTCTGGCACATGTGCAGTTTGTACAATAAAAACAGAAATTAATCTCCATAGAAGTAGGAACAAAAATGTCTTCAAATTTGCTGGAAAATGCATCATGTGGAAGGTGCATATGTATTATCGATCAAGAATCCTATCTATTCTTGTCCATTGATTAAAAATATACTTCCTAACCTGAAAATAAATTGATCAACGTTTCGAGGCTATGATACAATAATTGTTAATCACACTTTCACATAGTAACGCATTCGTAAATGTGTATTCTAAAATATATTCGATTGAACGAAATTGATCAAGATAGTTTCGTAATAAATTAGTAACATACGGTCTGCTATGGTAGAAGGAATATTTTGAGACAACGGATAAGGATATCACAAACATGATAATATTCTTTGGTAACATGGAATGTGCGTTATTTATTCTACTAATTCCTTTCTATCTTATTCTATCTATATATATAGATATATAATCAATTTTATTTAATTGATATTTATTTATAAAGATTATGTATACGTAAACTAATGCTCGAAATAAATACTAATGATAATACCGATTGAGTAACATAGTATTAGGTAAGATATATTTGTCTCAACTGTAATTGGATGTCGTTCAACGAATAAGCTTGGACTTCTCATCCAATCGCTTTTAAACTTGAAATCATGTGACCCAAAAATTTTCTTTTTAAAATTGTATAATATTAATCTCGATTAACAGTTTAAAATAAATAACTACAAAATATTTAATGGAATTAATAATCAATAATGAATAAACTAACATTAAGAATTGGATGTTCTTTCTTAATTAATAATATTGCAATGCGATGAAATCATTTTAATTGGCACAAAATGATGTTCATTAATTAAGATATATTTTCTCGACAAATAGATTTTTCAATTCTTCTTTTGATATCGTATCCCAATAGCAATTTATGTCATCGTCAGAAGGAATTACGTCTTTCACTATATCTAGATATGTATCTATTGGGCAAATTTCATCACAGTTTTTAAGTTTAAGCGTAATTAATTGCTCGCTCACGCCAGTCCACAAAAGCATCTGGTAATAAAATAAAATAAAATATAATATATATACTATATAAATATTTAGAGCAATCTATTATAAATTTAAGGAGAGTAGCAATAATAAAATAATATCACCTTAATAAAAAGTTTTCCTTCGATATTACGTAATTTTTCTACTATAATCGTTGATCCATAACTAGGTAACTTGGGTATATGAATATCGTGTGCTCTCGTAAAAGCTGCTATATTAATCTCATGGCCGCTATAAAGATAAATTTTCCGAGGATTCTCTCGTTTATTTCTCGTTATATTCATATTTTCTATAAATTGTCTGATCAACATGCCACCGGTTAAACGTTTTAATGTCGCTGTATACGAACGAATCTCATATTCGAGAAACACGATATCCTCCATCTTTTTATAAATATTCTCGGTACACCATTCTGGCAACGTTAGATTCATAGCTTTCTGAAATAAGATAATATAATAATCAATTTGAATGGATGTGAAAATATGAACGCGATTGAATTATAAATGAAATATTACCTGTGCTGCCAATAAATTAAAAATTTCGTAAGCCGCAGTGAGAGTTTTAACATTCATACCAGTTTCGTTTGTAAGATATTTTAATACATCCGTATAAACTTCACTTTTATCGCGTATTTCTTTTAATTGCCTTACTTCTTCTAAAGCTTCTTCGTACCTGCAACGTTATAATTCAATCAAATATATTTTGTTATTTATATTTCGTATAAGCGATTTTTAATTAAAATACCAACATTGGACAAGCTTGAGGCCTCAACAAATTATCCACTCTTTCTGGTGCATAATGCGTAGGAATAGCTAACCATGGTAAATCCGGGTTCCAGTTCTGTTTATCCGATGGTGGATAAAGACCTGCTAAAACCAATTGCAGGGACATTTTAGTCCGATCGATATCCGTGCTACGAGCGTATACGTCTTTAGGATGATATAAATCGCCCAAGAAATCATTATAGCGTTGCCTCAACATTTTCCCGATCGAATATTCACGCATTTTTCCTTCCTATAGGGGGACGAGTAAAAAAAAAACATTTATTTTAAAAGTATTTACTTTGTTTTTCATATGAAAACTTTTAAGCCAAAACTGTATCAAATTTACAAATGATTTCATTAATTCTTACATTTGTCAACTGAGCGACCCCCCATGGTTCGTAAGAAGACCCATGGTGAGGATCGTTGGGATACATTTCTTTAGCAAGTGGCGCTCGTTCTCCATGTCTGAATAACTGTAATTACAAAACAAAATTTTATTAACAATTTAATACGCGACGATTACGAACTAGAGCTCATTTATTATTTGATAAGATAAGGAAAAATTATCTATAAAATAATGACCAAATGTGTTCGTTTATGTGAAAATGATTATATAGAAATATATAATCATTTTTTTCATTAATGAAGTTTCTTCGATAGAATATATAATTAAAACATCGAAACTAAGTAAATATGTAAATCTTGAAATCTCCTTAACATTCTCTTATCAAATCTTATCGAAAATTCCTATAGATGTTTATAAAAATGTTATATTTACCACTTGTACGAGTTCCAAACTAAATTCGTTGGGTTTATCTGAGAAAACAAAGGAAATTAATAATAAAAGTAAAAAGGTCGTTAATCCTGCTTTAATGAAATACATTCCGCGATGATTAACTTGATGATTAACGATTGACGATAGAAAATAAAGAAAAAATCAAGATGTAAGATGGAAAAGTACAAGTGTATGTGATATGGCCAAGAATTGAGCCGCAAAAAAGTGTTCCTGACCGCGTAATGCTCGGACGCGTACTACCGCGTACTACTACTGTATCTATTTTATAAGATTAATATTTTATTATCTGACCTTTTTTAATGTGATAATATGTACTTATAAATGGAGAGATTATTTTATCATTGCACTTTAAAAAAAGTTTCATGAAAATAAAGAAATATTTTTAATCATTAAATGCTGCAATATTCATATTATAAGCATTGATCGTCTTTAATAAATTATAATATATACATAGTGTTTGTTTAATTATTCCATAATTCAAATGTTAGCAACTACATTTATAGATAAAATGACGTAACAATCAAACTTTTAACGTCAATCTCGTAAAAATAAAAAGATAGAAATAATTGTTTTTGACGCTATCACATATCACTTAATATACGATAATCGTACATATTGCCCGTTAAAAAAATCTTCATAAATTGAAAATAAATAGATAAATAAAAATGATTATTTCCAAAACGTTGCAATAGCATGTCATAAAAACTTATTGCCTTGAATATATTATATATAGATCATTTAATCGTCTCATAATCCAAACATTAGCAACTTTATTTATAGATAATGACGTAACAGTATAACTTTCATAAATATACCTAATGATTTTTATTCACGATTGTGACAATTTCGTGTGTTTTTAAACGATATACGAAGATAAAGATGACGATCTCGTAGAAATTAATGTTAAAAGAGATGAAAAAAAGAAGGAGAACAAATTTACCCTTACATATAAAATAATAAGAATGATATAATAATGTAGATAGGATTAATACGATTAGTGCAGTCCTCGTATCGAATCTTGAACGTGATCTTGTCTCTTGCATGATGACCTAGAACTTCAATGTAGAAACTTGTATGTGTATTATAGGTGATATGCACGCCTATCTACGTACCTACATATGCACGTGCACATCTATATGCACTGGAACGTGCATTCGAGTGCACATCGCCTATCGTACTACACTGTTTTATTACTTTATTATTCTTATAATATAAAAGCTTCATAAATTCCATATTTCTTCAGATTTGTCGTTGTTTGTCAACGAATAGCATTTTTACAAATGTCAAATCATGTTTAATAATGATTGTATAATAAGAATGCAGCAACGAGAAGAATGCGATAAGCAATAGTAGTAGTAGTAATATACTAACATAAATATCGTGTAAAATGCTTATTTGTGAATATAACGAATACGTGGATCATACGCGTATCTTTTGTTAAATGATTCGATGCTTATGGAAATTATATATATATATATATATATATATTTTTTTTTATATATAAATATATATATGTATATATGTATGTGTATATATATTACGTACTCTCATTCGAGGTTTTATTGGACGCCGTCGTGAGTTTGTATTTCGAAGCGCACAGCACAAGTTAATCTGAAAATAAAGCAAAATAAATGTAACGAGGTAGATGATTGTATCGGTATTGTTTCATCTGTACTGTTCTCATTTGTGATCGAAGGGAAGATATATATGTACGTCCTTTCGTGCATTTTGGTAATATACTCTGTTATCTAATCATCTTATGCCATCTTGTATCAAAGCTCAAAAGCAAAACTTTTCGAATGTTCAAGTAAACTATTTCGAAACAATCTCAAACGAGTAATATCTCGATTAATAATGCATTTGATATGTAATTATAAATATGTATGATATTAACGTTAAATCTCGATGCAATTAAGCAATATCAAACAATTCAACAAAACGATTTGAAATTAATTTCATGAAAAATGTTTCCTTAAAAAACAAAATTCTCTTGAAAAAGAAAATGCACTGCAATTTCAACCAATCGGATGTTAAGAATAATTGCGAGGTTGCATCAAGTATTTTCTAATTTGAAAAAATGAAAGTAAGCAGGTTTTTTCGTCCAATCGAGTTGAGTTTGCGTCGACATCCGATTGGTCCGTTTACCGAGATACGTTCATTGGAGAAAGGCGCGAACGATCGTTTAGATTTACTTTTTATCATTTTTCAAATGTTAATTTGAATGCGAATAAGAAGGAAGTAACGCTGTCTTGTGTATGTCAGATTTAATGTATTTCGAACATTTATTTATCGATATAAACAACAGTTTAATGATTAAATTCAATTGTTTATGGTAAAAAGATGTCAATAAACGTCACCGTCAGTGGAAATCCCATAAATATACGCCGTGGAAGAGTAGTATTGTCGGATTTAGACCAAATTAAGAAAAATGAACGTGACCGTAGACGAAGATTGCGTCTAGAACAAGTGTGTTATGAATCAATCATCTTACGAAAGATCATTTATATTTCTAATGATTAATCTTTTATATGTTTATCTATCTTTCATATGTTTTATTTGTATATGTATGGAAACGTTTATGTATAGGTTAGGCAGCAATCGAAAGAAATATCTAATAGACTTTTGGAAAGAGCCAAAAATATTGCACAACAAGAGTTAGGAAAATTAGAAAAAGATGACAAATCCGAGCTCAAACGTCTTCACGAGAGAAAAATTATGGAGATCCAAGAAAAGTATCAAGAAGATATGGAAAATATTGGTCAGGCACACTTGGCTGCTGTTTTAGAATCAGAAGCACTAGCGGATATAGAAGATGAAACTGATAGAAATAGGGAAACTGCTTTAAAAAGAGGCAAAGAAGCTTTAGAACTATTGAAAAGAGTGGCAAAGGTAAATAATATATTTTTGTATTATTACATATTTCAACGCACAGAGCATTAAAATGTCTTGATAACTTATCGTGTAAAGGCCATTATAAAAATTAAATAACACCTGTGTAAAAGGATGACCGACATGCTATGCATCGACAAAGATTGCAGCAGGTTAGAGAATTGGAAAATAAAAGATCATCTTTGGTAGCTGAACTTTCTAAAAAGTCTACCTGCCAGGACGATTCGTGTAGAAATTTCAGTCAAGAGAACGGAATGTCTTGTCAACAAGATCAAACTAATGAAAATCTAAATAAATCTGCTAAAAAGAAAAAACTTAAAAGACTTGCTTCTAATAAATCTCCTGTGAAAAAAACCAGAATCAATGAAAAGGTATTATACTCGTTTCGTTTATAGTTTTTATTAGTATTTACATGCATAATTTTTTTGTTTTTTATAGAGTAACAAAGAATCTCAAGAGAGCCTTTTGCCGTTGCAACTTTCACCTAGACAAAAAATCCGCATGCAAAATGAAGCATCGCAAAAATGCGTTATTACCAGTAAATCTGACAAAAAATTAGAAAATATTGATAATATTGGACATACGGATCATAAAACTCAGGACGATAAAAGTCCACGACAGACAGTACCCATCTTAACCATTTCTATGAAAGCACAAAAATTAGCAAAGTACGTTTTAATATATGCAACATTTTTTTTTTAAAGAACATTGTATATGGAATTTTGTTTTTTATTTAAGATATAACCCAGGAGATTACATACAAGATTCATCGGATTTACTAAGCAATGACAGTCCTTCTCTTAGCGACGACTCTTCATATTTTTCTGATGTGTGCGATCAATCAACTTGTATTAAAACTCCAAAACATCATACGTCTTTAAGAGATAGTAAAGTGCAATTGTATGATCATAGTACACGTCAAAGAAATAATTATAATAGACCTCTGGACGTAGTAGAAAGATTGGATATAAGAAACGAGGTTTGTGTGTTAAGATGAAATTTAACATTTTAGGGTTACTATATATTACTATATATTATTATATATTACTATATATTACTACTATATATTACTACTATATGTTATATACTATTATTATATAATAGTATATAAGGTTTGTTTTTATACCAATATTTATATATTTTATAGCCAAATGCAATAGATGCAGCTAAAGAGGTAGAACGTACCGAAAGTATTGAGTCTCATGCGACCGAAACTCATAAACTAGCTTCTCAGAAACGAGGTGATGATGCAATTTTACGAGAAAAAGTACGATCCGACTACCAAACGCTTATGAAAAGTTTAGATCATCTTTCATCCGAAGAAAGAAAATTAAAAGCCAGCGATGTTCAACGTGATCCAGTAAGTATTATTTCTATTCCTCTCTCCTTTTATCTCTCTATATATGCATACTAACTAACTATATATACTACTAACTACTATATACATAATCGATTTGTTTGATAGATGAATGATGTACAGTTACGAAAATCTCGTAGGAAAGAGTTACAAAAAGAACATAAAAAAAAGTTATGTCGAAAATTTGAAGCTATGACTGAAAAAAGTTGTTGCGCGAACCATTGCCCAAACCTTATGGAGAGAATAATTACCCTTAAAGCAGATAAACAATCTGAAAATCATAATAAAAAAGCAGAAGGTGTTTGGAAGGAAGCACATTTTGTTGAACCCCATGTACCAGTGGTTAAGTCACCAAAAAGCAAGGATAAAAGGCAAGAAATATCACGCGACGAGTTAATACTGGATATGTTGAAAAAAGTTGAGAAACAGAAGATGTTATTATTAAAAGAATTTGGTGCGAGCTTGCCAGATGATATTTATTACGCAAGTATGACATCTTTAACCGAACCTGACAAATCTGATGAGCCTCAGAAGAAAATGCATCGAGAGACGTGTTTATCTCCCGAAGTAACATTAATAAACATGTCCAATGGAGAAAATAATAATAAGGACAGTAAAAAAGTTAAAAAAACGAGCGAATCAACGAAATGCGAAATGGCTGTGCAAACATCAACATTACAAGATGCTGGTATTGCTGAGGATAAAGGTATTCAAGTAGAAATAAAAGCTACGTGCGATGATGCGACCAATGCATTAAGCACCAACGAAGAACTTTCTACTAAACATTATCCGATAGAGCCAATAATTACAGTCATTACTCCTGAAGTAGAAAATAGTAGTAGTAGTTCTAATAATTCTATGATTACTGGCGTCATCATTGATATCGATAATGAAGAAGTCAAAGTTACCCCGAAGAAAAAGAAACGCACATTATCTAAACGAACGTCAATGAGGGCAATGCAAAAATCGCATTCCGCTCCACCGAGTAAAACCTCTTCTCCCGTAAAAAGATTTTCTAAATCCTTACCCAGCTCCTGTCGTAGTAGTCCTCGCAAAATTAATATCCATTTCAAAAAGAATGGTTTGGATGTTAACGTAGATCCTTCTGACGGTAAAAAACCAACTATAGATAGTAGCACGGATAGTTCTGCAATGTATTCTTCATTAAATACACAAAATTCATCTGTACGTGAACCATACGAAATTCCTGTTACCAAATCTAAAAAAGTAATCAAAGTAAGAGATATTTCTGACACTTCTACGTCATTTGCTAGTCCACCATCTTTGGCACCTAAGAGACCAATTACTGCAAGTAGTACTACACCAATTTTAGAAATTTTAGATTTTTCAACGTTCAGTGCTATAGAGAGAGCAAAAAGAGATATCAGTCCTGTATCGACGCCAGAAACTCCTTCTCCTCGCACTATGATGATACCTTCCAATATACCTCATACTGAAAAAATTGGTAAGGTACTTAGATATAGCGAGGAACTTGACGATACAACAACATCTTTTACCAACAAAGATACATATTCGCCTATTTATGAAAAACAGAAAGATATGTCATTGGCACAAAGTCTTTATCCGCAATATTTACCAACTTTATCTAAATCGTGTACTTGTCAAAATCCTCAATGCAAATTATTACACATTAAACTTGAAGATATTCAAGATTTTGCTCTCAAAAATTGTCCAGAAATTCTCAAGAAATATGAAGATCTTCAAAATACTTGTACCGAGAGAATAGCTTCTTTGACCGATCTTATTGAAAAAGTTCGAAGCGAACAAAGAGGTATGCTGAGAATAACTAAACTTTTGGTTATTTAATTTTTCTTTTTTAAACCTTTACTATTTGCCAATTTTCTTCTTTTTAGGTATGGAACTTTCCGTAATAAGTCCTCAGGATGAAATGAATTCTATGAAAATACATCCGGAAATGCAAAGTAGCATGAAGAACGTCCAAAGACTGGTAGAAAATATAGAAGCAATACATAATCAACTTGCTAAAACTCTTTACGAATCACAGAATGCTATTATGAAAGGTGAAGCTATTAATAAAGATATATCTAAAAATACAACTGAAAATCAATCAGTACATTCTCAAACTAAAAGTAAATTGGATCATTCGGTAAGTACAACTGTTGAACATATCAGTGATAAGCTTACCTCGTCTAAACCTAAATCTAAGCCACGAATATTAAAAGAAGAAAAAGTAAATATAAAGCTAAGCAGATTTCAAATGCCTCATAAATCATCGGCAACTATGACAACTGTTACACCAGAACGTAATTCGTGGCCTCCAGTTAAAATTCCGACTCAAGACGATAATACGATCGAAGAACTTTCAAAAGAGATTTTAGAAAAAAGTAGAAGTAAATCGACTGGTATGCCTGTATTTAGAAAAATTGCTGATTATGAAAATACAGATATATTGCTACCTACAAAACCTGATAGTTCCAAGCCGATTGGTAGTCCTTCCAAAAATGGGGGAAATAATGTTCCGGTGCAAACTACTGACATTACTGTCGAGGTAACAAAATTATAGTTATATTTTGATTAATATTTGTTAATTATATTATTTATTAATAAAAATGTATGTATATATTTTCTAGTCGGAGAAAGATGTAGTTTTCGAATCTGAATCTGTTGGTATATCTAAAGTATTACCATCTTTGGCCTGTGGACATCGCACAAATGGAAGAAATAAGCCACCGGTTACCTTACACAGTGGATTTTATAAGTATGTGAATCATTTCAATGTCTTATTAATTTATTAATATTAATTTGTCTTGAAATTGTACATTTAATTATAGAACAGAAATCGAATCTATGGGTCATGAGTTGTCAACAATAATAGAATTCGATACACCAGATACAGGAAATAAAAATCACGTAACCATGAAAAGTTCGACAGCCAAATCGTTTGTTACGGACGAATCGCAGAGAGAAAAATCAACAGTTAAAAAATCAGTGGAAGTACAAACAACGAAATCATCAGTCACTGTTAAACCATCTATTCACGTAGCACCCTTACCCATTCAAAGTTCTTTAGGTAAGAAAATTTCCCAAGCTTCTTCATCTTCTTTCACGAAAAAGTCGACCGGAGAGATGTTTGCTTCTAAATTGCAAGAAGACGAACAGACGAGTCCTTCGCGAAGAACACAAAATGAGATGCATCTAGAATATCGAAGGACAGATAATGCGATTGGATTAGAAGATTCGGTTAAAGAGAAAGTTAACAAACAATTACAGTGCAATACATCTGACAAAGAAACAAAAGAGGTGTTACAAGAAAGACTCGAAAAAGATAAAGCGTCTTCTACCAGTTCAAATAGTTTTTGCGAATTATCTGGAATTTCAGAAATTACTAGTACACCATCCTCGAGTTTACTTAAATACGCTTCGTCCGAGGAGATGGAAACAGCGCTCAAACAATTAGGTCTTAGTTGGGCTATAACAACTTTGAAAAAAACACGAGAAGCAAGTGCTCTAAGTTCCTCCTCTAATTCGGACGTAACGCCTTTAAATACTGCTAGGAGAATCATTTCTCCAAATAAAAAACACGTGGATCCTAAGATCTTAAATTTATTGGATTTTAGTGATGTATCTTCTATATCTATCAAAGAAGCTAGTAAAAGTACGGAACAAGCGGTTCTATTTAAAGGTAGAACCTCGACGCCTAAGTTACAAAATTCTAATTCTAATACCGATAAATCTAACTCTCTTCCTACCAATTCATCTGGAATAAGTTTTCAAGAACCTAGCGACAGTTTAACAGTTCCGAACGTATCGCTTATTAAAAAGAAACAACCTATCGCCAGACAATCAAAATATCCTTAACATAACTATTATATTGCATATATTCATATAATCATACATACATATAGCATATTTCGATACGTATTTTACAAGAAGACACGAATTTTGTATACATGTGATGATGATGTTACACGAATGTTGGTTAGATTATATAAATAATGAATATTTATATTTTAATGACGATGTATCTATAATAATATTGTTTTATACATTGTTATTGCTGAAAACTTTAATAAATACATAAAGTATCTTTTATACAATGACAATTGGTCGATCATTCGTACTCGAATCGTTACTTTTCTTACGTTTCTAAGTGCATTTCAAGAGAATTACTGACAGACTAAGAAAAAATTGAACCTTTATAAATATATATTTTCCGAAATAATTATATATGATTAACTATTGATTGTCGATTGTCGATATCTATCGACAAACTAAATCGAGTCGCCACGCATGCGCTGAAAACTTTTCATGAAGTATTAAGAAATAACGAAAATAAGAGAATGTTATTACGCTATATGGTGCCCTGTTACATGTTTTCTTATATCCACATATCACATTGATATTTTTCTGTTTTCTATTTTCTATATGTAATGTCCATTTCCGTGCCAATACTTGTACAGCTTTTTTATCACATAACCTGAAAATATGTATTTCAATGTAATCCATAAAAAGTAACGATTTGTATTAATATAAAGGGATATACATATAAGGTGGCATTCTATTACAGTAAGTACACACATTTAAATATATTTCACATGAATAATATACAAAATGGGAACAATATAGTAATCAAATGATGCCTTTATTAAAGAAACAAATATTTTATCCTCAACATTAGATTATGCCGACAACGTACACTGCATTTCTAACTGGAGTTGTGATGGCATCGCTGACATGGATACTGAGTTTATATCTCTATTCTTCGCTCTCCCATAATGAAGGAAATAAAAATATTGGATCATCATTACCTGCATTCAATTTTCTACAAGCCTTAACAAACACCAAAAATTTTAGTAAAGGTATAATAATAAGCGTATTATCCTCATAATAAGCAATAAATAATATGTATATAGATATCTATTTACATTTTGATAGGCATAAATAATTATGAAAACAGCGACAAGCTGTTGCATCATTTACAAGCAGTTTCACTTAAACCTGCTGTAACATTAGGCGATGGTAAGATAATACTTGTATTTTTTTGTATTATTAAATAAAGTAGATGTAAATATCCTTAAATCACCATTATATTTATATTATATAATAATTTATTAATGATTTGTACCTCTTATCATAATATATTTCTTTAGGATTAGATACTTTAGGAATGGTGAGGAATTTCGAAGATCAACGAAAAAGGGATGAAGGATACAAAAATTATTCCTTTAACATCTTGGTATCAGATAATATTGGTTTTTACAGAGACATACTAGACACAAGATATAAATTGTGTCAAACGCAAAAGTATGCAAATAATTTGCCAAATGCTAGCATCGTCATTTGTTTCTACAATGAACATTATACAACGCTCATAAGATCTTTACAATCTTTGATCGTAAGAACGCCAATGTCATTATTACATGAAATTATTTTAGTGAACGATTATAGCGAGAGTAATATGTTACACGAACAAATAAAACGTTACATTGATAAATTTAATGGCAAAGTTAAATTGTTTAAAACTGAAAAAAGGGAAGGATTGATTAGAGCAAGAATGTTTGGTGCGAGAAAGGCAACAGGAAACGTTTTAATATTTTTAGACAGTCACATTGAAGTAAATAAAGAATGGATAGAACCTCTTCTTTCAAGAATAAAATATTCAAGGACTATCGTGCCTATGCCAGTTATAGATATTATAAATGCAGATACATTCCAATATACTGGTAGTCCTTTGGTCAGAGGAGGTTTTAATTGGGGACTGCACTTTAAATGGGACAATTTGCCTGTCGGTACATTAACCAATCAGGAAGATTTTGTAAAACCTATCAAGTAAAAAGAAAATATCTATTGATAAATATATCTATTGATTTCTTATATCTATTATAATAGAGACATTATTTATATTATTACTCCAAATTATTATCGACAGATCGCCAACAATGGCAGGGGGACTATTTGCTATCGACAGATCATATTTTATGGAATTAGGAGAATATGATCCTGGCATGGACATTTGGGGTGGTGAAAATTTAGAAATCTCCTTCAGAGTAAGATAAAGATGCATAGATATGTATAATAGTTGATGCAACAGAGTCCAAATTATTACACGAATTAGAAATAAATGATATTTTTTACAGATATGGATGTGCGGTGGAAGTATTGAACTTATACCATGTTCTAGAGTGGGTCATGTGTTTAGAAGACGCAGGCCATATGGTAGTAACCAACAATACGATACAATGTTGAAAAATTCTCTACGTGTTGCCTATGTATGGATGGATGAGTACAAAGATTATTTTATAAGAAATGTCAAGAAAATAGATTATGGTGATATTTCTAGCAGAGTTGCTTTACGAAAAAAACTAAACTGCAAGAGTTTCGCTTGGTATCTCAAAGTTGTTTATCCCGAATTAGTGTTACCGGATGATAATGAAAGTCAGCTAAAAGACAAATGGTCAAAGTTAGATCAAAAATTGATGCAACCTTGGCATTCGAGGAAAAGAAATTACATTGATCAATATCAAATTAGACTTAGTAATTCCACATTGTGTATTCAAAGCGAAAGAGATATCAAAACTAGAGGTTCCAAACTCATTTTAGCCCCATGTTTAAGAATCAAATCACAAGTAAGAATTGGAAAATAAAAATCTCAAATAATAACAGTCAAAGCGACATCAACAACTGGATCTTTATGACGTAATATTTAACAATAGCTTTTTTTTTGTATACCTAGATGTGGTATGAAACAGCAAAAAATGAGTTGATACTTGGACAAATGCTGTGTATGGAAGGAGCAGGAAGGGTACCAAAACTTGGAAAGTGTCATGAAATGGGCGGAAACCAAGAATGGCGACATAAGAGCTCTGTAAATACAAACGCTTTTTCTTTTTTTCATATTTCTTGTTAATACATGCGTGTATTTATATACAGAACGGAACACCTATTTACAATACGGCAATTGGTACATGCTTGGGAACCTTACGCGCAAGTAAAAAGGCCGAAATTATCATGGATCTGTGTACAAAGTCTGACGTGTCATCGATGTCTTGGGATTTGGTTCGTTCGAAAATGGGACAGAAAGCAATCAGATAACGCATAAACGGTGCTCAAAACAAATACAACGTGTGTAAGTTACAAATTATAAAGAAAAAGTACCTTTGATCTATTTTTTACAGTGCATCAAATTGTTTGTGTATAGCAAAAGAAGCGATTTCTGTCTATTAGACAAATTTTCTTAGCTATCATAACCAATTAAAGAAGAAGAGAAAAAGGAAAAGTGATATTTAAAATAAGAACAAATTTATAAGTTTTTTTAGTTTGTTACAAATATTTCTGTTTATAAAATACTATAAAAAATGCATAAAGATATATTGCTCTTGCATGTCCTTCTCTTCTAATTCCTCGTAATCAATTTATGTCCAGACTATTACAATACTTTTGCGCTGGAAATTCAGGTGCGTTATGCATTGCATAATATTTTTGTAATTGATTACATATAAATTATTCCTATTTTATATTTCACTTAATTAGCACTTTCTTTTACATAGTTTTATGATAATTAAATAACTCATATTTTCGGTCAATACTTTTATTTATGAATTGATCAAATTCCTACATTCTAATAGTAATAATCTTTCCAATTCTTTTCTATCATTCAGTCTGTGATTACCAATACAAATTTCTAAAAATTGTTGCAAGTTGGATGAATCGCTATTAGGGCTATACAAAAAAATAATTAATGCGTAACGCCAGATTAAATACTCAATTTCGTTAGAATAATCTAATAGGAGTGGATATAAATGTTGTATATGCTTCCAGTTTTGTTTTCCTAAATGTGACCTAATCTCTAACATAAATAAGCTTTTAGAAAATCCTGTAAAAGACACGTAATCCGATATCCTTAGTAATGACGTACTTGTGCAATGCTGTTTTATTTTGTGATTCTTTTCGTAGTTTTCGTTATCCCAACTTCGCTTATTATTACTTAGTCTATTTTGTACAAATTCAACAGCTTGTTTCTGTAAAAAAATGTAATATGATTGATTATAATTTAATTAATAATATTATAAATAATTAAGCTTACCATACTTTTTTCCTTAGCGAAATACACTCGACGAGATTTTCTCTTGTTTTTATCTGACATTTCTGCACATGTGTTATTGAAAAGTTAATAGTAACAATTTTGCTTCTTCCTTTAACGGTATCTTCGCATAGAATGCAGCATTAATAAAATATTCCAAGGAGTCAAAAATTGTCAAGGTATGCCGCTAGGTGGCACCTAGGGCGACATTAATTGTAGCTCCTTATCTTCCGTTTGTTTACTCACCGTTAATTTGCGTTCAATGTTTCTTGTCATATCATATTTATTTGCATTAATTATTCCCTGTAATTCTGATCGATCTAATATCCTCGCAAGATGGCAAGTACATTTTTATACTTTGCTTATGGCAGCAACTTGTTAACGGAAAGAATTCACTTCAATAATCCAACAGCAGTACGAAAGGATATTGGTCGCTTAAAAGTAAATTGAGCAGATACATTTTTCTTTTTATAATTAAATTGTATACGTCTGTATACGATATGTAGAAACATTTGAGAGGGTGGTCTAGCAGATGTTACTATTTTTCCAAATATTCTAGAATTACAGACTTGATTTTATAACGTACTCTAAAAGATGGGGTGGAGCAGCAGCAACGATAGTTCCTACAGAAAACTCTTCTGTATGGGGTGCAATTTGGGAATTAGATCAATGTAATCTTTTTACGTTAGATTGTCAAGAGGGTGTTATGGACAATATATACTTTCCATTAACCGTTGACGTTGAAACTCCCAGCGGTACTGTTTTGAAATGTAGAGTATATCAACAAAGTAATGTACCAGCTAACTATATCAAACCAATTTTCTTGCCAATCGAGAGACTACCATCGCTTCTTTATTTGTATGTATTATTTTATCACCATTTTCTCTTCCTTCCTCTACCTATCTGTATTCTATCAGAAAAACAATTCATTTCAGAGAAACAATTATTAAAGGTGCTCAAGAGAGTCAACTTCCTGATAGTTATATACAATTCTTAAAGATAATTTCACACAATGGATTTAAGGGAAAATGTGAACTTAGGTAAGATAACTGATTTACTTTCGCTATACATATATCAAATTATTAATCCGCTATTATTGCCCATTAAAGTCAACAGTCAAACAAGTTCATTTTTATTTTTTATAATGTTCTCTACGTAAAAGTCTATTGGATAGGTTTTATGTAATTTAATTGTAAAGAGAAGAATGTATCTGTTCAAACTCAAATACTATTTACTCTACTAATATAGAAATTTATATCGCAGCTTATCTTTGAAAGAATCTTTACATCTGTGATTCTAAACCTTGGCTAAATTTGGAAAATTCAGCTATTAATAATTCTCAAGTTTCCTGTACAATTTGATTAAGGTATAACAAAGAACTTTTATTTTCACCAAAATCTATTTGTTTATCCGTGCAATATTGAAAATAATGAATAAGTTGATGTATATATAAATCTATGTTACAGTACTCGTATGCGTGCGTGTTTAGAAATAAGTAAATAATAAATCTATTTAATTAAATCACACTATCGTCACTTTATAATTCACATCTATTTTAGGTGGGTTTTTTTCTAATACATCTTTATTCAATTGTGCTTCCTCATTATTTATAAGATAATACAGTATAGAATAAAATATTATCTCACGATAATAGGGCAAATAATATTATGTGCATCATTAATATCTATTCATATTCGCTCTTTTTTTTCATTTACAAACAACATATATATTTTATATACATTTAAAAGTCAAAGTATTATATAATTAAATTTCACACGTATTCATTGTACTTACAGTATTTAATATATTATAATATTCTAGATTGAAAAAGATTGTACTATACGATATGAAATGTGAAAAATATATATAATAATCTATACAATAATCTATATAATAATTTATATAATAATTGTGCTGTAATTCATAAATAATTTAAATAATTTTTCAAATCCCGCCATTTTTACTTTATCTCTAGCCATATCCTGTATATATATATAGGATAGTAAAATTGAATAAAAGCATGTCATTGAGAAAATTGGGAATGTATTGAACGATCTTTGAATGTAAAAAATGGTGAGCGCAAATAAGAAAATTTGTAGAATTAAAATATCCTGATAAGAATAATGAAAGAAGGAAGGAAAGAAACGAACAAATCCGTGGAAGTACAACTGGGTTCGAGGCTTCATATAAATACAGCCATATTCTTCAAATTACCGGCAGTCATTGCGCGAATCTTGTGATGTAGAGTTCTTCGGTCAACAAGAAGAAGTATTGAGAAAGCATTCACTTTGGCCGAGAATGCCGGTGAAAGTCGATGTAATTCCACCGCCGCCTGCTAATTCGAAGCAGCCGGGTGTTACCAAATCTTTGCTCTACAACGGTTCGCGCTTTCAAGGATCGCAAAAGTCCAAGGGCAATAGTTACGACGTTGAAGTTGTTTTACAGGTTAATTATTCATTTTTCTTGAAATTACATGACAAATTTTGCGAAACTTTATTACGCGTTAATTCTTTCTCATCTTAGTTTAACACTTCATTTTTAAATGGCACATCAAGTGAGAGCATTATTAATAATTAGTATAATATCTAAGCCCTTTGGATAAAGTTCATATTATTAATACGTTAAATACGTTCTCCTTTCGCGATATATTGTTTCTATTATACTGATACATTATTTTTCTAATATCTCCGTGATGTAATATATTTCCTACTTTTGAGACGAATTTTCAATTTTTTAATTGCCTAAGGGTGTCAATATCATATTAAATATTGATGTTTACAAGAAATACATGTGTTATTATTACTCTATTTATTCGATCTTATGATAAATGTATGTATCCAATGATTCGCTTAAACTTTCTTCCCTTTCCATAAGTTTGCATCACATTTATGTTTTAGCATGTGGATGAGGAAAACAGCTACTTATGTGGTTATCTTAAAATAAAAGGTCTTACAGAAGAATTCCCCACATTAACCACATTCTTTGATGGTGAAATTATTTCCAAAAAATATCCATTTTTAACTCGTAAATGGGATGCGGATGAAGATGTCGATAAGAAACATTGGGTTTGTTTTTCAATATTCTATATATATATATATATATATATATCTTTAACAAAATGTACGAAGCTTAATTATAAATATCATTTACTTTCTATTATTTCAGAGTAAATTTGAATCTTTCTGTCAATACGCCAAAACTTTTAACTCTGACACATTTGATTATGAGGCATTAAAAGGGACAGATTTTGTGTTTATGAGATGGAAGGAGCATTTTTTAGTTCCTGACCATACTATTAAAGATATTAATGGAGCTTCATTCGCAGGCTTTTATTATATTTGCTTCCAAAAGTCTGCAGCAACAATCGAAGGTTTTTATTATCACCGAAGTTCTGAATGGTAAGTAAATATTAGATTTATTTATATAATCAAATTAGATAATCTAAAACGTGCGTATGCTTCAGTTAGATAGCTCAACAAAATACGTCTCCTTCAAAATACGTTCCCTGTTGAACGATATATTTCTAAAGAAGCAATTATATGTTTATACATATATTATTAGTTTAATGAAATAAAAGATATGATTGTTATTAGATTATTTATTATCATTGTAGGTATCAATCATTGAATTTAAGGCACGTTCCAGAACACAGTATACAAATCTATGAATTCAGGTGAAATCCATGCTTTTACTATATTGCCTCTCTAAATTCATATGTTTTCTGTCCCAGCATACAGATCTCATAAAAGTCCTTGGTATTCAAATTATTCATATATTCATTTCTAAAAGATATATTTATTAATCTTACATTTACTAATTCGAATCTTGTTAAATTTGAGTTATGTCCGCTATAAATCTCCTCACAGAACGCATCCGCTCACCCGAATAAATGAGTATGGTCGTTTTTAATTCTGACATATAATATATGATGTGTACTATATTGCTTGATATAATTATCAAAATGATGAGTAGAGTGCCTCTATGAGAGATATTTAATTCAAACAATTATTTATATAGATATTCATTGTGTGAGGCACTTTAATCAAATAAATTAATTGATACTTTTTGTCAATTAATTGTTGATTATTTAATATTCATATATTCTACAACGAAGGCTAACTTCTTTGTCATTGTTGCATGAAATAATCTCGTCAAATTCTGGTACGTTTATTGTTATTTAATCTATTCTTTGAAAATTGTTTAAAGCAGAATTAAATGATACAAAAGTAATAGTTATATATATGTATATGATATATATCTGATATTTAGAATTATATAGAATACCTATATTATGCAGTTTGGTTTTTGTTTCAAGCGTTACAAGTTTTATTCTTATACCTTTTCGATGTTAAAACTTTAAAACTGCAAAACTGCTTCCCCTTTTTTTTTAGCAATGTCAAATTTATCGTTCATTCTTTTAAGGAGTATTTATGAGATCTGCTTGCTCACATAGGTATGATCGTGTTACGATGAGAGTGTAATATTTGATTTATATTTGAATGAATGACATTTAATGTGTGAAAAAGCCAAGGAAAGCTACTATATAAGAATACATTTAATTTCAGTCATTCAAAACATCCATGCATACGATTTTAAATATTTTATTCGATTCATAGTTTATTGGCATAAGAATGGTGTGACGATAATATATATATATATATATATTATCATAAAAATCTTAAAATACTTCAGCGAAAAAAGGTTGCTTACATCTGCATCTCAATGTTGATTAACTACTTGGATCATAACACAGACAGTGACAAAATATTTCTCTTATTGTCAAAATGAAATATTAATTGATGCTAATAATAACGTTCTTTTTCCTTTGTAGTGAAACATAGGAACTTAAGGATTAGCAACCTTTCTTTGTCAAATATTTCTCTTTTATTACATTTGAGATTAGAACATATAACAAAATTTATATTTACTTGTTATTCTTAAGAAAATGTTTTTAGACAAAAAGTATCAAATATCTTCAGGCATTTTCCAATTACAAAAACACTATATAATCATACTTGTTAAAAATTTACAATTATTTTGTCATCGTCGATGTATCATTAAATGTGCCTTTTAATTGGAAAATGCCCCTTTTATCTTATACTCTTCCACTTTTCAAAGTTCTTTTGAAAAATCATTTTCCGATAGAAAAATTTCCATTTTAGACACGACCGCAAGGAGCGTGTTTTATTTATGGTTGTACTTAGAAGGTGTATTTTTCAAAAGTAGCAATAACAAATTGTATTATTTGTACGTAATATATGGCAGAAGATGTTTGTGTTTAATAACAAATCTACTATATTAGAGAATCAATAGGTAGTTACAAAATCGATAAGTTGCAAAAATGCACACATTCAAACATTTTCTGTTATTTTTTTCGAAATATTTTATTATTGTTATTGTATTAGTTTTTTCTTATTTCATTTTATTTTATTTATATTATCCCATTAAAAAAAGATATGTCCCTAAAATGTTAGACCCACATCCGTTATATTTGGCAATAAGTATTTTTTAAATATTAAAATTATTTTTTACATATTTATTTTTATTTATATAATTTTATTTTTTGTTTTTTTAATGTTTTATTTTACAAAAATCAAAATTTACATATGGAATAGCATATACCAACAAGATTATGTAGAATCTCTTTCGATTTCTCCGTTATTATATTAATAATTTATCCATTTTTGTCTAGTTCTACATATAATGAATATATTAGATTATATTCCTTGTATACCTGAGTGATTATTGCGTATTCTTTTACAAAATAACATCGTAAATCACTCATTAAATGTGAATTGAATAGATTAATAGTATCACAAGCTGGTAAGATTAATATGATGAAAAATTGATTTATTTTTAAATGGTTGTATTTTATTCAAAATTTATATATGTGATTTTTAAATACTTTTTATTTAATTGAGACAATTTATGCTTATGAAATAGAAGATATTGTTTTGTATTATAATTATTTAAATATTCTTCGTGTGTAAATTGCAATTTTAAATCAAACAATCAAAACCTACAAATGATTCGATTGATAAAAATCTGTATACGTAGACGTAGCGCTACAATCTTATTGTTAACAAATGAATTTAACTAATGCTATTGCATAAAAATAAGAATTAGTTTCTAGCATAATAGTAGAAAATCATAATTTTTTAAATGTATAACAGAGTGTTATGTGGATTATCCTGATGTAAAATTGCCCATAATTTTCACAAAAATTTAATAAAAATACATCTTAAAAAGTATTTTCTTATTTATAATTGTTTATATCATATTATTTTCTCTATTTATTCTATTCAAATACTTCTATTGGATTGTTTACTTTTACGAGTAAAATGGGTGTTGAGTTTTCTTTTTATTTCATATTATTCCGTACACTATATCAAATAATGTATATATGTAAATAAAAGTTATAGCGGCGTCATTTTTTTCTTGCTTTTATATATTGCATTCGATCGATCACCATCGCCAAGAGATGCAGACTGATTCTTTGTTTTTCTTCGAATGAAACTTCTAGATCTAGTAGGTCGTTTCTTCTTTGGTATTTTTCTTTCTTTCTTATCCAGTGTCAGTTTTCCTATCTTTTTCTTCTGTCTTACACTACCCTATTGTTAAATACGATTGAGCATCATTTGATATAATATGCATAAATAATTATTTGTCATCAAATATCATTACATTTGAAAGAATTTTGCAAAAACAAGAAACATCATTTGGTGCTGTAGTCGATGTCTTATGTAAAACTGCTTCGAATCCTAAAAACTTGGTATCAAAATTGATTTTAGCTTTGATAACATCAGCAAACGAACTGTTAATACCAAGCAAATGAGTATACAATTTGTTCCCTTTTTTTCTCCAAACACTAGAGTTAGTATAGTTTGGCAAGGAGAGATTGAGTGTTTCTGCGATTTGCTTGGACATTGATATCTGATTAGCAGTTATATTCGGGCAGTACTTTGGTACACTTTCTTTTTCAGAAATCGATGAATCAGGTTGTTTATTTTGTAGGAGCACTATAGAAATGTACATTAATTTGTACAATTAGATATATATTGGAAAAATGATAGCTCTAAATATAAGTTCTTCTATTTACTTACAGATGAAATCGTTAAGTTGCTTTGAGAAAGATTTATTGCTAGAAAGTAAGTTTTGAAAAGTCTCATCTAAAATTTTATCAGAAAAAAATGTTCTAGCCAATAGAGATTCTTCCCAAGGTTCTTTTATAAGAGTCTTTGAACTAAATATTTTCCATTGCTGATGCGAAACTTTGGCTTGCCACTTTAAAGCACAGTCTTCTAACTGTGTATTTATGGATTTTAATAGTTCATTGACTTTTTTCAATTGCGGTGGTAGAGGATCGTATTCTTGAGTAGACAAACGTAAAATACTTTCTTCGTCGACATGTCCTTCTTCCAGCGTAGACATGATATTACTTTAGCGATAATACAAATTGTTCAAAATCAATTTAAATGCACAGCATTGTTTTGTTGCATATATAACATTTATGAAATGAAATACACACGAAAATTAGAGAATCTATTGGAAATAAAATAGTTTTTTAGAAACCATAACTCTGCGCGCGAAACAAGTGAAGTTGTTGTTATGGAAAGCAGTTGCTATTACTACACGCAACTAATAACATTAAACATAAGTTAAAACTGATGTAGAAGGAAAGAAAGTTATAAATTATTCGTGAAGTGCTTAATGGCATAGTTTAAAATACACAGTTTTATTAAACTATTGACATTACTTCGATAGTCGTGCACATAAATATTTATGCATCTTATTTTATTGTAGATTTTTATTTAAAAATAAAAATAAATAAGACGCAAAAAATATAATCATTAAATCATATTTGTTTTATACAGCAAGGTGCTCAATGAGGGATTTCTATTTAACGTAACGTAAACCAAGAATAGGATTCGCGATCACACTTTTATCTTTCCTTGTGACCTCTTTAAATGGCACCTTTCAATAAATCTTGTTACCACTATCAATGATTTATTATCCTAGAACCAAATATATACAATAATAATACAGTCAACTCTATTTTGTCGATTTACAATAATATAATTCTTTGACGAATACGTTTTTACATTCGAAGAACAATAAACGTTTTTATCTTTTAGATTGGGAAAATAATATATTTTATAAGTAGTTGATATTTTAGGTAAATATGTCTGTTGTTAAAATGTATATGTTGTACCACTAGTTTTTTTATTACAATCTCCCAGACAGTGAAACACAAAAATTTTATTTATATATAAAATAATGTTAAATCGTATAGTCATTTTATATATATACATAATTTAGTTAAATTCTATATAGTATAAATATATTTCACACTGTATCCTAGAATAAAGAAATTTTTAAGAAAGAAATACAATATACACATTGCCCCTGTTAATCGTAAGACAAGATTTTTTTCATCGATCTTCTTCCAAACACAATCATTTCAGCAATCTCTAAATTGCCGTCGGCAAAACTATTATTTTATCAATTAATCTAACATAACGACGAAATATGATCTTAGATTAGGAAATATTTCTGGTCAAAGTTAATTATTAGAATGAATAATCATGCATAAATGATGGAGATACAATATGATTATGCACAAATATTACAATTTGTTAAAAAATACGTATAGTTTACATCAATATTATTTATCAAAAGTATGTTGTAGTTAGAGAGAATATATTTAAAATTATTATTAAAAAAATGTTTTTCAACAATATATTTCTATATATTAGGTATCCTTTATAATGACGCTATTTTATCTTAACAAAAGTTCTACGCAGAGATGCCTTTCTGAAAAAGTAAATTTCATATCAACAGCCAAAAATACAATATATATAAAATCGACTTATTAATAAAATATAGATATACTCAAAGAGCGTGCGTGCATTCTTATATATGCTGTTTTGTCTGTCTCGCACGCACCTCATTTAATTATGAAAAACCACTTGCGTTTAATTATCAGTATCATAAAAAGACATATGCAACCATATTAAACACTTTTTAGCAAATGTCATAAAATTCGTCTCAGGTTCGTTTAACAAATGGCACCGATATAATTATTCGCATTACACCGTCGTCATTTAAGCTCGATGTTATCATTACAGATATTTTGGTAAACCGCAAACTTGAGGAAACATGGTGTATAGGACACCAAAACCTTTTTTGTACGAATAACAATAGTTAGTAATAACATTAAAGTGAGGTCTTTAATCTCTTAAATTGTTTTCATCTAAGAGATATCCCATCAATGATGTATTTATATCTCATTCTGCACAACGTTACATTGCCATATTCTTAATCGAAACAAGATAAGTAATGTAACAGGAATGGAAGAACTTTGATATCACGTTGCATGTTTGAACATAACTGCAACCCGAGCTTTAATCTCAAGATATTGTGCAGGAATTGCGACCTACACAGCTTGTCCGAGAGTCTGTCATACTACCAGGAGAGTTGCCTGGCGTGGATATTCCATTATGGCCCACCCCAACAAAACGCAGTTTCCTTTGATGAGAACTTAAGCTTTTACTGGTGCTACGGGTACGGGTGCCATTATACCGATGTCGCGAGGTCGTAGTCATTGCATATGATTTCAAATGCGATATAATAGATTTAGGCAATGGAAGTTGATCTATTCCATATACTGTTGTTCTCGCAACTATAGCACGGCATGCGAGTTCTTGAAGAGTGGGCACTGTACCAAGGAAAATATATTATTATATATATTATACAGAATAGATACCTTCTAAGGAATACATGGTACGTACCTTTGTTCGATCTCCATAGCCTCTCCATGCCATTACGATGCAAAGCCATGCGTGAGAGCTCGGAGAAACTTTCTCTTATGTTAAAATCGCATAGAGGCGAGACTTCAAAAAATGCCATTCGATTTTTAGCTGCGTATGCTTCCGCGTCGCGTTCTCCTACTTTTCTTTTAAATGCCAAATGAAGCCGATTGCCAACCAATATTTTTGGTATACCTGGAGCATGCTAGAACCATTGATAATCGTATATAAATTGTAAGTAAGTCATAAACCTTATTATATCTTATTTGATAGTTTCAACATTTTACGTATACCTCTTCGACTTCTTTTAACCACCTATCAATACCATCAAAGGACCATCTATTGGTAATATCGTAAACCAAAAGTATGCCTTGCGCTCCACGCGAATAAGATCTGATAATTGTACAAAATCTACCTTGTCCAGATGTATCCCATAATTGTAATTTTACTCTTTTCCCATCTAGCAGGATAGTTGTGGTTTTGTATGCTGAAAGCAATACGGCGATTGTCAAGGATTAATAATAGCATTAGGCATGGACATATGATTATTAGAGGTTAGAAATAGATGAGGATAAATATTAATAAAGTACCACTGCCACTGCAGAAGGGTGATTCGGCGGCACCGTCTTCAAGACCACTTAGTATTTCTTGTTTCCCAACATCGCTGTCACCGACCAACAAGAATTTTAACAAGTAATCGTATTGCTTTTCTTGACGAGGCTTAGCCGTGCTGGCCTCACCTGTAGCCATAATACCTTTCTACTATAAACCCTGAGCATACTGCACAAGGCCCTCTGAGCAATGCTCGCCCCTTTTACGTTTCCCTTTATGTTACGTTAGATCGACGATTTTCTTTGAATACTCTTACAACATTGACATCTCGTCTTTATGTTTGTTTTTTTCTAACACGCCGTCGAAATTCGAGTTTACTACATCTATCCCGCCGTTGACTGTTTCAGATTTCCAAGCGAAATCATAACAAAACAAGATTGACAAATCCACATTGTACATTGCCTTTTATTCCCTTTCGCGTTCCCTCTTTCTCACTTGTTATTAGCTTTATTTAATTGCAAGTTTTCAATGGATAATCCTCGAATATAACGTAAACGATAACGATAACGATTGCTCGATACGTCACATGTAGTCTCCTTTCCATGTATACGTCTTCGAGATATCCTTAAATGCGAATGACGCTTTATTTCTCGCATCACCTTTGTATCCGATCTATCTATCTATATGTATCAAACATCATGCATATATGTGTACATCTATGTAGGCTATAGATAGTCGCGTGCGCCTGAACAGACCGGATTAGTATATTGGCAAATGTGTACTTTTTAACATAGTCAATAATATTTCTTTTAACAATGGGTATATTAGAAAAAATATCGGAAATTGAAAAGGAAATCGCAAGGACGCAAAAGAACAAAGGTTTGTTTTTCACTTGTCAAATGAGATTTCGATGCTCTCCTAACCGTATTTTTCTTCATTCCTATATTTCAATAATGAATAATATCTTTTTTTTTTAGCAACGGAATACCATTTGGGACTTTTAAAAGCAAAATTAGCGAAATATAGATCGCAATTACTGGAACCTACTAAAAAATCGGAAAAAGGAGAAGGTTTTGATGTATTAAAATCGGGTGATGCAAGAGTAGCATTAATTGGCTTCCCCTCTGTGGGAAAATCTACGTTACTCAGTACATTAACGCATACGGAGTCCGAAGCCGCATCTTATGAATTTACTACTTTAACTTGTATTCCTGGAGTAATAGAGTATAAAGGCGCAAACATTCAATTGCTCGATCTACCGGGTATCATTGAGGGAGCTGCGCAGGTAAAAATTAATTACCATTTTGATGAATTGTCTACATTGCGTTATGTTTTCAGGGTAAAGGAAGAGGCAGACAAGTTATAGCTGTTGCCAGAACAGCGGATTTAGTTTTAATGATGTTGGATGCTACTAAACAAGATGTACAGCGACAACTATTAGAGAAAGAATTGGAATCTGTTGGCATACGACTTAATAAGAAAAAACCCAATATATATTTTAAAATTAAAAAAGGAGGAGGATTGGCTTTTAATTCAACGTGCCCATTGACCAAAGTCGATGAAAAATTAGTCCAAATGATATTACACGAATATAAAATTTTTAATGCAGAAGTACTGTTTCGCGAGGACTGCAGCGCTGATGAATTGATCGATGTTATTAATGCAAATAGGGTATATCTACCGTGTCTTTATGTATATAATAAAATAGATCAAATATCAATAGAAGAGGTAGACAGGATTGCACGACAACCAAACAGCGTTGTAGTGAGGTATACTATTGTCAATCTATTCTATTTAATCCTATTTTATTGGCAGTTTAGTATAATACACTCGTACATGTATTCTTTTCAGTTGTAATATGAAGTTAAATCTTGATTTCTTACTGGAAACTCTCTGGGAATATTTATCTCTAATAAGAGTATATACAAAGAAACCTGGCCAGCCGCCTGACTTCGAAGATGGACTAATTCTGAGAAAAGGCGTCACAGTAGAACACGTCTGCCATTCTATTCATCGTACGCTCGCCCAGCAATTCAAATATGCTCTCGTTTGGGTACATGTTGTTTCATTTTATATTGAAAACATTTTATATTTCTATAAACTTGTCTAACGTATATTTTTTCGAGCAGGGTACTAGTACCAAGTATTCTCCTCAAAGAGTCGGATTACAACATATTATGCACGACGAAGATGTTATACAAATTGTTAAAAAATAAATTTTAATTAGAATATCATAAGGGGGGGGGGAAGAGAAGAAGAAAAAAGAATTGTACATGCGCTAATACATTTCTCATTCCATTTCATCGATTCCCAATTTTTAACGAAAAAATGTTCTTCCTGCTTTTTTACAATCATATTCGAGAAATTAATCAAATGTATACGATCAAAGCATTATAGAAGATTTTTGTTTTAAAATATTACAATAAAATAGTTATTTACCAAGATTATTCGAATAATGATCGACACGAAGCTCACGTCGCGACGACGAAATGTAGACAACGGTACACCGTTATCTATCGGCTTATACGAACAGCTTTTCGTACAGACTCCAAGTTCGCTCTGATTGGTTCGCGTCGGTAAGCTGCATTAATACATCGGTATAGTACTTTGCAGATGTTTCACCGACTAATCAGCACAAAAAAGTTGGCATATAAACAAACAGCAGAAAAAAATGAATAATTGCTCATTCAAAATCCATAATTGCTCACTTTATTAATTATTTATTTAATTAGTTATTAATAATTGAAAAATCTTAATCTACCCTGCACCATTTTTGTTACCACTGGGACCACCATTACACGATAGTAGGTACTTAACGCGATGACAGTAAAATAGTACTATGGTACTACTAGAATACACTAATCTTTGATAGAATATGATATATTCTTTGATAGTATAATTAGTACAGTTCTATTGTAATAAAATTTGAAATAAATATATTTAATTTTTAATGTATAAACATGTGCGTGCCTTCAGAAATGCATTTATACGTATATTTTAAAATGAAGCAATTTAAGACACTCAAATAAAAAAGAATCCAGAAGGTTTGATGATAAATCGAACGATGATACTAATGGTGACACTAATAATGAAAAAAGAAAATATAAATATACGATTTTCGTGGAATAATTTTAGCAATTTATACGTTTGAATTCGTGCTCCTTGTGTAATCTCCATGTTATAAAGAACGGAGCTATATACAAGGAGGACGATCGAGATAGGCGTTTGCGTCGAATTTGTGTTGTTGAAAATGACTGAATATCGATTACGATAATTATCCACGAGGGCGGCGGTGATGTTCTTAAATTTAGATTTAAGTACGTGTGATTTTATAAATAAACAAATGAAATAATAGGTCTCTTTGATGTTTTTATTTTAATTACTGTTTTTAAAAACCAGACTAAGCGACTAGACGCGCTCTCTAGTGGCAATAGAAATCATTCTTTCATTGTAAATATTGTACCCACATTTATAACACAGCGATCGTCCTCCTTGTATATAGGCTCCATGTTATAAAGTATGAATTGATTTAAATACGAATTTAGTTTAAAATTTTACCCCTAGGAGGAGCTTTGGTCGTGTTGTCGGTAACAAAAATGTAACTAAAATTTCATTTTCTTATGATTACTAAGAACACATTTTCATGGTTAAATTACCTAGATTTTCGTTTCACGATTGGAATCTACCAATCTGAAGCCGTTAAATCTTCAACAGAAAATATTTCAATTTCCACATGGACATCTGGCTTTTGTTTACGATTGATAATTTGACAATTGTAGTGAAATTTATGAAAATCTCATGAGATATGGAAAATAAGTCATCGAAAGATCGGAGAGTAGAAAACGCAGGTAATTGTACGTTATTTATTATTGACAAAATAATATCACTTATATATCATTTTTATATTTTATCGCAGATGTCAACCAAGATGAATTAATTCTCCAACAGCAAAGACGTATAGAAAAGGAGGTTAATATTCTTCTTCAAAATAAATCCTATGAAATGTTGAATGATTTAATAATGAAAAATTGTTGAATTAAAGTGTAAACATTGATTGTGTTTAGTATCTTGCATTATATTAAATTTTAATAAGAATATTAATAGTATGTAATTGTGACTTAAATTTCATTATATTTCAGATATCTGAGTCTATAGCTTTAGTTGGGGAAAAGGAACCATTGAAAAGTTTAGAACAGGAATACACAGAAGATGAAGTATATCTGTCGAAAGCTAAAGCTTTGGGACAAAAATATTCTTATATTAGAAGAACGAGGCCTGATGGCAATTGTTTCTTTAGAGCCTTTAGTTATGCTTATCTCGAAAAACTAATCGGAGATAAAAATGAGTATAACAAGTTTAGAGAACTTGCAATTAAAAGCAAAGAGAATCTTGTAGCGCTAGGTTTTCCTCAATTTACTGTTGAAGATTTCCATGATACGGTATAACTAATATTTGAGATTACAAAATGGATTGCAATTGAAATAATTTATTTATGTAATTGGATGTGTGCTTTTAGAAAATAATATTCTTTATTTTGATTTTAGTTTATGGAAGTGATCGACAAAGTAGGTGGAGACACAGAATCTAGTTATTTAGAACTACATAAGCTTTTCAATGAGCAAGGTTATTCTGATTATGTTGTTGTATACCTTAGATTAATTACTTCTGGTCAGTTACAAAGAGAAGGAGATTTTTACCAACATTTTATAGAAGGAGAACGAACTATAACAGAATTTTGTCATCAGGTTAACATTTCATCTATTATCATTAATTTTATTTTACAGAATATTTAATACGTTTTCTTTTTCTAATTTATATGTTACAGGAAGTAGAACCAATGTATAAAGAATCTGACCATATTCATATTATAGCAATGAGTACTGCTTTAGGTACCGGTGTTCGAGTTCGTTACATGGATCGTGGTGCTGGAACTGAAGTAACAGCACATGACTTTCCAGAAGGCGCTACACCGGCTGTTCATTTACTTTATCGTCCTGGTCATTACGATATACTTTATCCTTGATAAATTAAGTCTAAAGCCATTTTTTTTAAGTTCATTATTAAGAAATATACTTCATTTAATGATTTTTCCAACATGTTTAAAAGGAAAAAATATGAAACTATTTTTACTGCGAACTATTTTTACGATTTAGTTTTGAGTTTTTTAAAATTAATTATGCCATTCAATCACGAAACTATAAATGTGTCAATATATAAATTATTTTAAATAAATAATATATAAATATACTTAAGCATATATTAAAATGCGAAGGAAATAAATAATTAAAGAGAACATTTAAAATTATAAAAGAACATTTAAAATTATCTATGAAGATCGTGAAAAATTTTTAACGCTGCATTGCTCGAACTTGTTCAGTAACTTCCTCCAATAAAACAGAACTTCTATCTACTGATTCCATTTGATGTTCTAATTGAGTTACAATAAGCGCAATTTTTTTTAAATTTGTTTCTGCCACCTCCACTCCATGCTCTTGCTGTGCAAAACTTTTAGCAGCGTGCATTAGAATCTGAAAGAAAACAAACAAAGAATTGTGTTAAATATCATTTATTAATTATGAAGATTTACTTTTTTAAAAAATAAGATATGAATGACAACTACTTCACTGCTTTTGGAACCTCTCTGAATCTGTCTTGCAAGCGATGCAATATTATTAACATTAACTTGAACTCTATCTGCTAATCGCATTTTAGAATCGACAAATAAACTGCGTGCACTTGTACTAGATGCTGAAGCCATTCCGTATCGTTTTTCATTAATTCTTGGATAAATTTTGATGTTGATAATATTCACAATCGTGCCAATGAAATTAAACAATTTTCTTATGACGTCGTTATTTCATGATTTTGAACGGTAACCAGAAAAGTTTAAACATATCATTTTTAACCAAATTCTGATCTTTTAATCAGTATGATTTTTTTATGCGTATATGTGATACATAAATATATGTATACGATTATTATAAATTATTATTATTATTTATATTTATGATTTAACAAAAATTGCACATAGTTTACTACAAAACCTATAAAAAGTATTCGCGAATGGAATATTATTTTATATTTCTTTAAATTAAATTTAAAAACACAATTTATTAAATTCAATTTACTAAACACAGTTTTTTGTGTGTGCGAAATAACAGGTTAAGTGTATTATATGATGTACTTTATATTGCACTGATGTATGACCATATGTATGTAAACATAACCATGGACATATACGAATGTAAGTTAGGTTAGTAAACAGCTGCAATTCGGAAAAGTTTATGTTTTCATAACCACGTTGCTACGAAAGTTATATTAACGTATATTATTATATCATAGATATACATAAACAAATATTTTCTGGCAAGTTTTCGATAAAATGATTATTTTTAAGTTCATTTTTTATCGTGTAAATCATTATATATTATATTAGGTTATATCTACAAAGCTGATGTTTAAATAAGAAAATAGAACACTTAATATATATATTTATTTAAAAATATTAATTTTTTTATCTAGGTAATGAAACATTTGTAATAATAGTATTTTACAAATAGACTTTTAAGA